ACAGCTGCCTTGGCAACTGAGTTCACCAATGTTTGCTATGCAGCCAAGGACAAGCAGGTACCGGCGGCAATGGGAGAGCCTAACAAATTCCCCTTCTCAAATTGGCACATTTCCTGTGAGCTTTCGAGATTTCACAGTGGGCTTCACAGTTTGGGAACAATTTCCATCATCGTCTGACTGGCAAGTGCTAGTTCTGTGGTAATTTGTGTCTTTAAAATAGCTTAAAACACAACAGGGCACAAAGGTCCACTATGCTTCTGATGTAATCATTTAAATACACATTGTCACCATGTCCCCGACCTAGAGTGGCATTTTAAACCCCACCCCCAAATCACCATGTTCTATTTTCTTAGCCTCTTCCATACACTTGTTATGTACATGTGTAGACAGGTAGTTCCAATTTTTTTTTTTCTGATCTACTTTCTTTACCTATTCAATTCTGGTTTTCACATTATGTACATGTGTAGACAGGTAGTTCCAATTTTTTTTTTTTTTTCTGATCTACTTTCTTTACCTATTCAATTCTGGTTTTCACAGACATCTATTGATCAGTTTTTCTTCTTAACATGCTCTGTCAAATTATCTGTATTCTAGCACGGCTGGGTGGCATCCCTACTTTTAGAATGACAATTGTTCTACTTTGCCCAGGAATGCAAAAAGAACCCCGCACAGGAGATTTCAGCATAGGAAAATTTTAAATTGGAAAAATGCAACTCAAGACAAAGTGGTTGCCATAGGACCTTCTTTACCCCATTATTAGGACCAGATAGACCCAATCAAGGGTAATTTTTTTAAAAGATTTATGTTTATTGTCCTAAATTATATATATGTGTCTCCATGTGGGTGTGTGACCATGGGTTCAGATCCCTTTGAGCTGGAGTTACAGGGAGTTGTGAGCTACCTGGTGTGGCTGCTGGGACCTAAATTCAGTATATAAACTGATGACATGACTACTCCATGGTATGGTTGAAGAGGTTTTTAATATATATATATATATATATATATATATATATATATATTTGAAAGAGAAAACAGTCAGAGGCATCAGGAAGACTCTAGAGTAGAGAGAGAAAGAAGTACACTGAACATAGCCAGCAGACTGGACATGGCCAGGGCTATCTTCAAAAGAGGGGAGAATAACAGAGAAGAGAGAAAAGTGAAAGCAGCAGGAACAGAGTAGAGAAAGAGAGAGAGAAAAGGAGGGGGAGGAAGAGAGCAAACATAGGTAGAATAGCAGGGTTATAGGGAGAACGAGTTGCTGGGGGGGGAGCCTATGAGCCTGAGGGAATTTAGAGGAGAGGGGGAGGTGAGAAGGGCTAGGGTGCTAGCATGGACTCCGAAACTGGTGCTGAGGGAGCCTGGGGGCCAGCGTGAGCTTTGATATGCTAATAGACACCACAGGTAGCCAGAGATAAGGAAAATGATTCCTTTAGGTAGATGGGAACCAGTTTTCACAAGTTCCCGAGGAATGCTGGCTTTTATCTAACTGCCAGAAATGCTCCTATAGTCCAGCTTGAGCTCATAGGACTGACTGCCTTTTGGAGTTTGGGGAAATGGAGTTTCCTTTGGACCTGACACTAAGGTCCTCTGCAAGAGCAGTGGGTATCTTAACCACTGAGCCATTTCTCCAGCCTCCGTTTCTCATATCCTATGTAGATACCAGTGCAGTGGCTCTGGAAATTTCCTGATAACATTTGCTACCCCTTTCTGTGTATTTCTCACTGTCTTCTCCTCCCGTTTCTTCTCCACAGTCTTGCTACATAACCCAGGCTGGCCTGGAGTCACATATCACCCACTCTGGACAGATACTCCTCCTGTTTCACTTCACGCTGTGAGAGTTAGGAGTAAACAGGTGTATGTCACAAAACCTCTTGCCCCTTTTTTAGACAGGACAGCTTATTGAGCTGGAACCATACCACCAGTAGATACATTTAAAGTAGAACCCAGTGGTTTTCAGTGTATCTGCAGAGTTGTGTAATCTCGAGTCAAACAATTTTAGAAGATTTTTGTAATTCCCCAAGGAAATTCTCACCCTTGCCAAATCCCTCAGCTTCTGGCAACCTCTGCCCTACTTTCAGTCTCTAGAGTCTTCTGGACATTGCATATAAGTGGAACTGTGTAACATGTAACCTTTGGTTTCTGACTTCTATACTTAGTATAATGTCTCCTGGATCCACCCACATTACAATAGCACACATCAGAAGCCATTGTTGGCAATTAGCTTTCTCAGGTGTGTATCTCCCACAGTAGAGTTACAGACTCATCCGCTGTTGGCTATTTAGATTGTCTTGGGTCATTTAAGGACACACATATACGAGTTGTTGTGTGGATATATGTTTTGTTTCTCTTAGGTATATTCCCACTGTGGTAGATGGAATGTAATTGGCCCCCATAAGCCCATAGGATGTGGCACTATGAGATAGGTATGGCTTTGTTGGAGCAGGCATGGCCTTGCTGGAGGAAGTGTGTCATTATGGAGGCAAGCTTTGAGGCCCAGTGCCTCAACAGTTCACTTCCTGTTACCTGCAAGAGGTAGGACTCTCAGCTCCTTCTCCAGCACCATGTCTGCCTGCATGCCACCATGTCCCACCATGATGATAATGGACTGAACCTCTGAAACTGTAAGCCCCCCCCCATTATATGTTTTCCCTTGTAAGAGTTGCTGTGGTCATGGTGTCTCTTCACAGCAAAAGAAACCCTAACTTAAGACAGCCATGAATGGAATTTGGGGCCATGAAGAAATTTTATGTTTAACTTTTTGAGAAAATTTTAGACTATTTATCTAAAGCAGTTGGACTATTTTAAATTCTCACCTGCAGTACAGGCAGGCAGGTTCCTTGCCAACCTGTCTTTTTCATGCTAGCCCTCCTAGTAGATGTGGAGTATAGTCTTATGGTTTGGGCATGTTTCTCTGGTGGCTGGTGAAACCTAGGTTTTTTCCTCTGCCCAAACATAATTAAGCCTCTCAAATGAAAAGTTACAGCAAACTCAAAGGACACTGGTAACTAACTGAATGTGCCACAGGCAACTTCCCCCACCTCAAATCATTCTGCCGTGAGGCAACTTAAAGTTTTCTTCAAACCACTGACTGTTCCTCATGAACAGAACTTGTCCCAACTCAAGCACTTCCTTCTTGGCTGATGCTGGACTACCCTCTACTGTCTCCATCAAGCTTTGCCCTGGAATGGCCATCTCATCTCCTGGAGTCTGTGTCAGACAGCTCAGTTCCCTGCAATTACAACTGTGAATTGCCCAGGTGCTTTGCCAACCAATTTCCTCAAAGGGTTCTGCACTAGTGATGGTGTCTCCTACAGGAGCTCAGTGGCCTGGGTACTTCACTCACTTATATCCACCCTCCCCCCCCCAGGCTTTCTGCCAGTTTTTCCTTTGCTGGTTCCCCTCTCCAGTTTCTCTGGTGTGCTCTACTTGTTTATTTACTTTGTTGCTTTCTTCCTTCTTTTCTCCCCAACAGACTCAAAATGGACCTCGAATATCAGTCTGCTTTCCATTTCTATAGCTAATAACTGAGACCACCCTGGAGAAGGGAAAGGGACAAGAGCTCCTGAGCAAATTGGAAGCATAGGGGGAGGGGAGAGGAAGCTAGGAGAAAGAGAAAGGGAGAAGAGGAGAGAGGAGGATATGAGAGAGCAGGAAGGTTGAGTCGGGGGACGAATAGAGGAGAGCAAGATAAGAGATACCATAATAGAGGGAGCCATTATAGGTTTAGAGAGAAATCTGGCACTAGGGAAATGTTCAGAGCTCTACAAGGATGACACCAACTAACAACCTAAGCAATAGTGGAGAGGCTACCTTAAATGCCCTCCCCTGATAATGAAATTGATGACTACCTTATATGCCATCCTACTGCCTTCATTCATCCAATAGCTGATAGAAGCAGAAGCAGACACCCACAGCTAAACACTGAACTGAACTCCTGGAATCCAGTTACAGAGAGAGAGGAGTGATGAGCAAAGAGGTCAAGACCAGGCTGGTGAAACCCACAGAAACAGCTGACCTGAACAAGGGAGAGCTCATGGGCCCAATACAGATAGCTGGGAAACCAGCATAGGACTGTTCCAGACCCCCTGAACGTGGGAGTCAGTGAGGAGGCCCAGCTATCTATGGGGTCTCTGGTAGTGGATCAGTATTTATCCCTAGTATATGAATGGACTTTTGGGAGTCAATTCCACATAGAGTGATACTCTCTCAGTCTAGACAGGTGGGGGAGGGCCTAGGCACTGCTCCAAATGATATGACAGACTTGAAGATCCCCATGGAAGGCCTCACCTTCCCTGGGAAGCAGAAAGGAGATGGAATAGGGGGCTAGTGGGGGGCAGGGGAGGAGAGGGAAGGGATTGATATGTAAAACAAGCTTGTTTCAAATTCAAATACAAAATAGAAAAAAATAACTGAGACCATTGGTTTGCAAAGATAAAGATGCATTTTGGCTCAGTTTCATGTTGCCTATAAGTCTATGTTGGAGGACCATGGTAGGAACATGTGATGGAGAAAAGCCACTCACCAGAAGAGAGAAGACACCAGGACCCTTCATTCCCCCTTTGAAGCATGTCCACAGAAACGTCTCACTAGGCTCTGCCTTCTAATGGCTCCACTATCTCTCAATAGAAATGACCTGGTGACAAGCCTTTAACACTGTTGCCTTTGAGGGACATTCCAGGTGTAAACTATAGGACCATACATGACCTCATCTCTTACTCCTGCTTTCTCATCTCCATCAATGAATTGAAATTCCATTGATTTGGCAAAAAGAGACAGGTGTCTTGATGGGGTCACCAAGAAAATGATGTTAGGAAATAGACAGCTATCTGCAGTCAGGAGAAAGGAAGTGACTCGAGACCTAACATTCCGACGCCAAATTAGGATGAATTTAAGGACCACAGTGTGGACCACACTGACGTACATCCTCGGCCCTGACCAAAAAGATCTGGGATCCCCATATCTAGAACAGGGAGTGATGCTGGTCCATGTCTGTTTTTCAGAACCAAGGGACCTGAGAAGGAGGAGAAGTTGAGGCGGGCAATCAAACAGGTGCTGAAGTGTGATGTGACGCAGAGCCAACCTCTGGGTGCGGTCTCTCTGCCTCCTGCTGACTGCCTGCTCAGCACCCTGTGCCTGGACGCTGCCTGCCCTGACCTTCCCACCTACTGCACTGCCCTCAGGAACCTGGGCAGCCTGCTCAAGCCAGGGGGCTTCCTGGTGATGGTGGATGCCCTTAAGAGTAGCTACTACATGATCGGAGAGCAGAGGTTTTCCAGTCTTCCCCTAGAATGGGAGGCTGTTCGAGACGCCGTGGAAGAGGCTGGCTACACCATTGAGCAGTTTGAGGTGATTTCTCAGAATTACTCTTCTGCCTCAGCCAACAATGAAGGACTGTTCTCCCTAGTGGGGCGCAAGGCAGGTGGAGCTGAATGATATACTGTGATCCCAATTAAAGGCTTGCTGGTTCATTTCAGATTGTGGCTCTGACAGCAGTGCTCATTGTGTCGTGTAGAAGCTGACTGGTGGGCTCCATGGTTCAGGGTGGGGTGGGCAGTCAAGGATGAGCTCATGGACCATTCCTCTGTGTTCCATACATGTATTAATGCCAGGAGAGTAACTGAGACATCTGGTCTCCTCTACCTGTACTCACAAAAGAAGCCTCACCACCTCAAGCATGCAGTTACAGCCACACCTGTTAACCATACGTGAATCAAGCCCACACCTGCCTACGGAGACATCAGCTATTCACCGTTAACCTCCCAGGAAGATGCTGTATCCTTCTCTTGCCTTCTTTCTGGAGAAACTGGCTTACCCCAGCCTCTGATGCTGATGAATCTGCTCTGGGCTCAGCAAGTCTCTAATAGACTTCTCCGACACTGGCACTAGTCTGACTTCAGGGACCAGGGGACAGCTGGCCTGTATTTCTTTCGATTCATCCCAGTGATCCAATTCTTTTCTTTTCTAAAGCTCATCTTGTTTTCAGATTATATCTAATCTCTATGTGCCTCGGTTTCCTCATCTGCAAAATGAGGTTGAAATAGAACTGCTTGTTAAGATAATGAAAATGGATTATAAGCTAGAAAGAATCCAGAGGGATGCTTGGTACCCAGTGAGCATCTAATAAATGTTAAGGATCGTGATCATCATTATCATTACAATCATCATATTCCCATCTTTGCTATGAGTTGCCCAAGCAGCTGAGATGTTTCCAACCCCACGTAGAAGAGGGGTCCTACTCAGGGCTCTCCTCTGCTGTGGCTGTCAAGAGCACCTACAAGAAAACAGTTTCCACACCACACGCCGCCAGTTCCTTTCTGATTCAAGAGCTATCCAGCAAACATGTATTTAGCATTCTCTTCCCTCTGCCAGGCCCTGGGAATGGAAATGAAGCCCCAGTGTCAGCTAGCTCAAGAGCCCTCATCTTTGCAAACACAGTGACATGACAAGTGCTCCCAGATGCTGCCAGGCAGTGCTCTCTTCAATTCCCACCCAGTCTTGCAGCTCAGCATCTTCTGCTCCCACTGTCCTGTCTGACAGTGCCTGAAGCTGGGGGTGGGGTGGCAAATGGAGAAAGCTACTCCCCTGCCTGTGTGTAAGAGACATGATGGCTTCCTGCCCGAGAGGCAGAGAACACAGTCTGCCTATACCAGGGTTGGCCAAGAGCCAGATAGCAAATACTTTTTAGCTTTGTGGGTCATACAATCTTTTCTTACTGATTGACTGATTGATTGATTGATTGATTGATTGATTGATTGATTGAGGAGTAAGTGGGTGAGTGTGAGTTAGACAGTGTCTCACTATGTAGTTCTGGCTGTCCTGGAACTAGCTCTTGTAGACCAGGCTGGCCTTGAACTCACAGAGATCCACCTGTCTCTGTCTCCCAAGAGCTGGGATTTAAGGCAGTCTCTGATGTTCCTGGCCTTGATCATATAGTTTTGATCATAGTTATTCAATCCCGTATTGGAATGAACCATAGATGACATGTAAACGAAAATGCAACTTCTTTTACTAAAACAGGTGGGTGGGTAGGTTTGGACCAAGGACCGTGATTTATAGACCTTTGATCTGGGATCAGAAGCAGCCCTATTTGTGGTTCAAATTTAATGAATCTCTGTGTTCACTTTGATTATCTTGTGATATTCAGTCCTACTTGTAAGGGAGCTCAAACCCTACACACGGGTCAGGACCGGGGACAGGTGGGATACTATTTCTTCTCACTCTGTCCTTACTCTTTCTCTCTCTTTATTGCTGTCTCCCTCAATCAACCCCACCTCCCATTTGAATGCATTCCATAAAAACAAACAGAAAATGAGGGAACTAGTCGGGGCAGGGGAATGCCAGATAAAATGTTCACCACACCAATATTTTCACAGTGAAAGTTACAATACTCACTGGAGTATCATAAAAATCCAACAAGGCACCACAATGCACATTATAAAAATGACAGAGAACAAAACTGGGCAGAAACAAATCCCTGAAAATAGAGTAGCATGCAACAATATTTTACAAAGTTTTGTTTTGCAGATCATATCTATCTTAGCTGGCCTGCATTTAGGCACAGCTAAGTTGGCACTGTAGGCTTCTTTTACCCAGAGATAGCTTTGTGGCTATGTATCTATCTGGAAGATATTTATTACACGATCGTTACTGCTATTTTAATTTCATTTCTGTTGCTGTGATAAAACACTGACAAAAAGCAAATTATGGGAGAAAGGAGTTTACTTCAACTTACAATCCAGGTTACAGCCCACCATTGTGGGGAAGGAAAGGAACTTCGAGCAGCTAATCACATCACATCCACAGTCAAGAGCAGAGAGACAGGGATGCACACATGATCAATTGCTTTCTTGTCCTTGGCCCAGTCTCACCACTCTTCCCTGCCTAGGCAGTGGTGTTTCCCACAGTGGGCTGGGTCTTCCCACATCCCTTGATTTAATAATACCATGTCCCCAAAGACATCCCCACAGGCCAAGCCAACGTAGACTCTCATTCTAGATGATTCTAGGTTGTGTCAAGTTAACAATTAAAGCCAATCATCGAAACTTAATGATGCATTTGATGCTGGAGTATGATATAGCACATATTTCTTACTGACTGTGATCCAAAACATTGGAAAAACAACTTGCCTGTCATCTGGGCTTCTGAGATTGGGTTATGAGTACCCACACTTTTTTTTCTTTCAGGCAGAGAAAGGATCTGTAGCTTCTTCCTCCTAAAGAATGCTTTGCTACTTGGAGAAATTGATGCACAAATATAACACCATGAGTGAAAGACGGGCTCAGATGGAGTATTAGCAGCACTGTGGACTTGAAGGGAGGGTGCTAAAACCATAGGACCCGTTCTGGGTCTTGCAGGCTGATTGACGGTATGTTTGGCAAGGAAGAAGGGAAAAGAAAGCCTGGGGACAGTGTGTGCTGCTGCCTGAAATGACCAGTAGCAGATCCCCTCTTTACCGGTTTGTTCTTTCAGTGAAACCCAGATCTAAGCAAACATTTGTCTTCTGGCTTTTTTGTTTGCCTTTTCTGAAATCAAACAGACCCACCAAGTCATGAGCAAACAGACTCAGGGGTCATTCTGGTCCCAACTTGTAAATGTCTTTGACCGCTGACCCCACTCAGATTTTGCTATCGGACTTTCTGAAGGAAGTGTTGGACAGTTTCACCCTGAGCAAATTTGTATGATGTAGGAGGCTCCATGGCTACGCATAGTGCCATGGGGAAGACCAGGGAAAAAGAAAGCTATTGAAGAGGTGGTTAGCTCGTTTAGTGTCATGCAGCCCAGCCTTGGTAATTTCTGTCATCTAGTTGTCATCAGGAGATGTTCATGATATGACTTACCAGGTTCTGCTTTGAAGGCTATGACTGCCTCTTGGCCAACTCAAAGATGTGAGGCAACTAGTAAATCGTATGGAGGGGGAATGCTGGGGACTGGGAACAGAAAATGTGGTCTTCATTAGAGTGCCCCACCGCTTTCATCAGCTGGAGACCTTTCTCGAAAACAGAAGCAATAGGCATCTCTCAGGACTGGATTGAAATCAAATGAGATGCTCATAAAGCCATTGTATAGCTTGCTATGCTATATTAGAAATCCTCAGTATAATCAACTCCTTCTAGAACAGCTGTTGAGACATGAATTGCTACATTCATTAGATTTTCTTAATGAACAGAGTTAAGCATGGTCTTCGAAACCTGTTTTGTCTTTTTGTTCAAGTCTGCACCGTGGATACTTGGAGTCCAACCTTCTTTAGAGCAATATTTAAGACATGTAATATATTTAGCACACTCTCAATAGATTCTAAATCTTGTCTCTGGCTCCATGGGCCTTAATTCCTGGAGAAGGGCAGAGGTCATGGAGTCTCACAGCACCTAGAAAGTATATGTCCTAGTTGGCTTTAATGTCAACTTTTCACAGCCTAAAGTCATCTGAGTGGAAAGCCTCCATTGAGGGATTGCTTAGATCAAGATGTCCTGTGCATGTCTTCGGGGGGATTGTCTTGATTGTTGGTTGATGATGTAGGAGGGCTCAGCCCACTGTGGGCAATACCATTCCCTAAGCACCTAAGGTAGTCCTGGATGGTATAAGAAAGACGGGTGAGCGTAAAGTAGCAATCAAGCCAGTGAGCAGTATTCCCCCATGATTTTTCCTTCAGCTTCTTGCACAGAGTTCCATCAGTGATGGACTGTGACTTGGAAATGTAAGCCAAATAAGTTTTCTTCCCCTACCAAGTTGCTTTTAATCAGAGTGGTTTTTACAACAACAGAACGAAACTAGGACAGCATACTATAACAAATAGATCTTCTGATCCTCAGGAGTCACCAGCCTTTTTTTGACAGAGTCTATCCAACAAACCACTCCAGGCTTTTCTTACAAGCTGTGCCTCTTCTGGATAGCCCGGGTGCCCCTCAGCTTTGTTATAAACAGTGGTCAGCTTATACAATGCATTTTTAAATATTATAGCAAAGAGAAACACTACTGTGAATGGCATCACTGGAGCCTCTTGCTTTGTATTTTCCAATGGAAGTAATAATCTCAACTTTGGTCCTTACAGGCCAGTTCTGCTCATCGAGTGGAAGCACATTGCTTGACCTCTGTGTGGCCAGCAGAGGGCGCACACGGCTCTTCCTGAAGCTTTTCCCAGCCTGGGACCATTCATGCCTAAAGGAATTTAAATAGAAATTAAACCTTTTGAAACAAGAAACCCATTTCCTTTGGACACCCTACTTATGAAGTTGCTAAGAGAAAGGGAAGAGAGCTCAGCACATTTTTCTCTAACGGAAAAAAAAGAAAAAGAAAAGAGATGCGAATGATTACTTTTACACACTTTAAAATTTTCCTTTTGGGCCTATACACAAAATACAAATTTTAATAACTCATACTGAGACCCTGGGCCAGTTTAGCATGAGAAGTGTTAAATATTGGATTAACTTGCCACTACCCTCTACTTCCTGTTTATTAAAGGGACAAGAGGTTTTTGTGCTTTTGCAAATCTTTTACTAGCAAGAAAAAGAATCAAGAAGTCTTTTGGTGGCATTGGTTGCTGACCAAATGACTAGGCTCCAGATTTTAATTTTAATTTAAATTTTAAACAGTGTCTGATGAAGTAAGAGGAAGATTTGGGGCTGGATTGCAGACCCTCCACAGATCATTGTGTTAATATTGCCTTTGTTCTGACTGAAGCGTTGAAAACCGGGTAATAGTTTCCCCCCTTGTTAAATTACTATCTCTCCCTCTGAGGAAAAAGAAAGCCTTTGGATATGTAATAAAATAACAGGTAAGTTGCTCCTAACCAAGTGATGTATACTCTCTAGGAGCAGGCATGTAAGCAATGCAGAGCAATGGGGAGGAAGACAGATGGTTCTGGATCAAGCTGTTAGCTAATTGCCTCTTATCCTGCTCAGTGCCGAGTTTCTGTCCCCGTAACTTGTCCCACCCTCTGCAACTTGCTAAGTGTGGGCAAGCTCGGCAGTTGAATATGACCTTTGCCATTGCTGAATCAATATATCTAATATGTCTTCCTAATGTGAGTCAAGAGTTGGAAAATGAAAAGCTGAAACCTTCTGTTTAATTGCTGAAAAGTTGAGGCTGGGGTCAAGGCAAAGGGCTCCACCTTTGAAAGCCCTGGTTTCCACTGCATAATGAGAAGTTGAATCATGTACCCACAAGGCCCAGTGCTCTACAATTTTATAAATTAAAAACTATGCTTGTTGCAATAGAATTTGAGAAGTAAAGCAGATGGGGCTGTTGCTCCGTGATTTCCTAGTATACACTAAGTCCTGGCTGCAATCCACAGCACCACATAAAATCTAGTGTGGTGGCTCGAACCTGTAATCCCAGCACTCAGGTGGTGGAAACAAAAGTTCAAAGTTACCTTTGGCTCCATAAGGAATTTGAGGCTAGCCTGAGACTTTGTCTCAGAAGAATCCCTCTCTCCCCCAGGTGAAATTGGCCCTACCCCTCCCCTCATGATTCACACAACCCTTCATTTCACTCAATTTTCAGGGAGTTGGCTTGAGGTGTGGCTTGTATTTTTCCCGGTGACCCCCAGATCAGAGATTGCCCCTCATTTTGGTTGGGAAGTCAGCACACTTCAGTCATGACCTGGTCCTTTTCTGCATCACACAATCCATGAGCAGACTCATCCTGGTCCTATGGTCTCCTGAAATCCACGGGCTATAACATACTTGAGCTGTAGGCTTGACTGAAACGTCAAGATTTGGAGTTAATGGGAATCAGTCACACTTTAGGATGAAAGCAATTTAAACTTGGTGTCTGTATTAGTCATGGTTCTCCACAGGAACAGAGCTAATGAAATGTATATAATTATAAAAGAGGATTGATTAGATTGCCTTACATAAGCAGAGGCTGGAATGTCTCACCATGGATGTCTGCAGACTACAGAGTCAGGGAAGCCAGTAGCTGCTCTGGCCAAGAAACAGGGGAAGAGGAACCAATGATGTAGCCCCAAGCTGGTGTGGAAGACCTCTCTAGCCCAACTCAGTGTTCAAAAGCTGAAGAACAAAGGGTCTAATGTCTATGAGTGACAGCCACAGCAAAAGCTGAGCTTGTTCAAGAAGGATCAAGAGTGATCCTTCCCTTCTGAGAGAAGGGAAGTGAACACAAGCCACCCCCCTCAACCCAGAAGTTATCTCTAATGACAACCACTCACAAAGGAAGAATTAGTTTTCTCCAGTGGAATCTCTCGCTGGATATACAAACCATACCTAAGGGCAGTCCCCATGCCCAGCAGTAGATGGCAACACAAAATGAACTCAGTCAATGGTAATTTTGGAGTTTTTTATGCTTGTTTTTGTCTCAAAGCTTTGTCTGAGCTTTTTTTTTCTTTTTATGGAATTTCTGTGTGAGCAAATGTGTGTCTCTGAATCTATGTGTTTGTTTCTTGTGCCTTTTCTTTGGCCTTTTATTTTTCCTGTTTGTTTTGTCCTTTCTTGTTGTTGTCTGTTTTCTAATGAGAGTGAAAGGGAATGGATTTAGGTGGGTGGAGAGGTGAGGAAAATCTGGAATGAGTTTGGGGAAAGGGAAACCATAATCAGAATATTTTGCATGAAAAAAAAAACCAGAAAACAAAAAGAATGGGATCTTAGGCTTTCCCTTTCTGCTTTGACCCAGCCTGTTGGATGGTGTTACCCACATTCAGTAGGCTCTCCTGACTCAGTTCACACACCCTCATCCCAATCATCTCCCGAACCCCTGTCAAAGACACATCTAGAAATACGCCTGACCAAATTTATAAGCATCTCTTAGTCCAGTCAAGTTGTTACTGGAGCAGTTAGGATTAAAGCCTGGACCCTGGCCCTCAAAAGAGCCAACCTGGGCCATCTGACCTCAGCAGACCAACCATAGAGACAAAGGGATTAGGACAATGCATAGATTTATTCCATATGGCCACAATGGGAGAAAGGAACCAAGAAGCCATCAAGCCACTCCTCACTCCCAAGCCCATTTTTGGAGTTCTGATGTAAGGGTTAGATCTAAATAGAGGGCGAGAAGTACGCTTGACTAATTGGTCCTGGTCAAGGTGTGTTCCCACCATCATCCTTGTCTAGTTCAGGCTCCCCTGCAAGTGTCTGTCAAGTGTCATAACTGTGTGAGATCTCTTTTCTAGAAACAAGCTCCCAGCTGGTCTGCTCTGGCACTGGCACAGAGGCTTCAGACTTTCCTT